AAAAAGTTAGAAATTAATCTTATTTGGATCATAACTTGTAAATAATATTATATTTGTACAAAATAACGCCTATAGGCATTATTTCAGGACATGAGTTTGAGACAAGCTAATTAGTGATCCGTATGGACCAGATTGGACAGATCTTTTTAAGGATCTGAATCTGATCCAAAAAATCAGATCAAATCCAAGTTAGGATCCAAAACTTTATCAGATCTGACTTGGATTTGATCTGTTCAAATTCGTATCTTAAATTTTAGTAAATCAGCCAATCAGAAAAGTGAAGGATTTACAGTGATTCAAAGAATATGTTATAAAGCGAAGTGAAAGCATTAATTTATCCGTTAAATTTACTCTTGTTTTATAGAAAGTTAAGCTACCCAAGCTTTTTAAATGTAGTATAAATATACAAAAATATTATTTATTAATTGTGACTCTTGTTAATCTATAGAGCTTTTTCAAATTGATAACATTCATATAATTGGCTACTATAAAGTTTGGAATATCTGATGAATATTTGCCAAATAATAATTTATGATCTGATTGAGTAAGTAATTTTTCTTTGATACTTAAAAGTAAAAAGTGATTGTTAAAAGCATAAAATCAAATAAACATATTATTCTAAAAATATATGTTGATTGCTGTAACTATATATAAATGAAAATCAAAATAAAATTATAAAAACTAATCCAGGACGCAGCAACAAAAAATTGTTAAACATATTGGGTATGGTGACTTAGTAAAGTGGTCAAGTTGTCGCACCTCCAAGCGGCAGGACAAGAGTTCGAATCCTACTAACGATGAAATTCGAATTTTACAGGATGTGTTACGGCAGACTATGTGTAAACTGATGAATCATCAGATCTGTAAATCTGGTTGTACCAGGGGTTATTGGGAAGCTGTGGAACTATAGTATGACACATAAGTTACACAAAACCTGAGTAAAACAGTTGTGTAAATTCAGATATTGGGGCACACAGAAGCCCGCTTGGCAAGTCTCAAGTAGAGAAGTAGTACGGATTTTTGACAGTACTATATAAAAAGCTATCTAAGGGATCCAGACACTGATTTCAGTAATTTGGACAAAGATCGGTGTTTGGCAAGACATTATACCAACCAGGCTACTAGCTGAATAACCAGAGGAAAAAGACCTAACCGTAGGGACCAGGGGCAGGTTACAGCTCTTCCGGGCTATCTGGATTGGGAGTTTAGGTTACTAATGGAAGTTAAGTACCAGTAATAGTCTGTAAAGTGTGTACTGGGGTTTGGGTGAACTTTGCAAGAGCAAGGAGTAGGTAATGGTAGCGGAAAAATACTGCAAGTACTTGGTCTCGGCCTAGCCGTAAGTTACTGAAAATCTAGATGATATATGTTTGTGGGATATGGATCACTCTAGTAGGTTTACTACAAGGATAAATTAGTCCTAAGGGGTCTTAATGATAGTTTCTCTTTGGAGAGAATATCTGACGGTGCTAAGTTGATCAAAGGGTTTAATTGGGTAACTCAAGTAATAGTGGGTTATAGGTACGGCATTTAGTGTAGTACTTAGTAATAGGAAACTATTTAATTAGGTGCTTAAAAGGCGTTGATATGACTAGAATGTACTCTTGTTAATGTAACAAAGTTAGAGGTAGTCTTGTAGCTGCTCTGACATTCACAACCAAAGTTAATAAAATGTGTCAGACCCCCAAGTGGTCCCTTAACATTAAAAAAAAAAAAAATTGGTGAATATAATGAACCCAAATTGTAACAAATAGCTTGGTAATATTAATAAAAGTTTTATGCCATTGCATAAATTAGATGATTATAATCATTTAAAAGGCAATGGAATATTTAAAATATTTAGAAAAACTATTATTAATCATAATACTTTTTGGTTGTATGTTTAATAAATTATTCGAAATAAATAAAATGATTAATTTATTGCTTATTGTTATTATTTTGTTACATAGTCTGAATTTTTATTTGTATTTTTTTTTTGTTAAGTTATATAAATTTTTAGTGCTCGATATATTAGTTATATAATGTTCGAAGCAATTTATCCAATCGTAACTATATATATGGTTAACCAATCAGCGTGCAATACTGTGTAATACTATTACAGATCTGAATCGGGTATATCTGACCAGATCTCACTATAGATCTGAATTTATATAGATCCAAAAATAATAGATCTGAACTCGATCTGTAAGCGAATTTGAATCTTTTGTGAAACACTAGAGCTAATAATCAATTTGGCTGAATACAAATCATAATTTTTTATTATTAAAAGTTTTGGCTAAATTAATTATCAGTTCACCTCAAATATGTGTCCTGAATAACATCATATGCATTATTTTACGCAAATATAATAAAAAGAAAGCATATAGTTGAAATGCATAAAGCTAAATTCTTTTCTAATAAATATCTTCTCATATTATTTAGTCCTATATAAAGTTATTTTCTTAAATAAAAAAATTACTTTGTAATAATAAAGACAAAATATCTTCTAATAAATACAAAAATAAAACTACTTTTACTAATCAACAGAGACAAGACATAGTTGTATATAAAAGTAAACATCTTAGTATTAGCAATGTTGAACTTGTAAATTGGATAAAAAGAGAGTTCAAACTTGATGTCTATCCAACTACTATTGGACACCTAATAAAAAATAAAGATAATATTGAAAGCAATCTCTCTACAAAAAGACAAAGAACAGTCCAACATCCAGAATTTGAAAATACTTTACTTGAGTAGATTCTACAAAACTAGGATAGAATAATCTTAAATGATGCAATTATAATTAAAAAAGTGAAAGCTTTTGCTCAAGTATTAGAAATACTAATCTCAAATTCTCACAAGGTTGGTTATACAAGTTTAAAAATAGGCATGGATTAGGACAAGTAAAAAAAGCATGGAAAAGATGCTTCTGTAGATAATGCCGTTGTTGCTGCTGCTATCTCTAAATTAAAAGAGTTATTAGAACAATATGATTTAAAAGACATTTACAATATGAATGAAACTGGACTATTCTATCAGTATAATAAATTATGTTATTTCAAGTTTCTATATGATTGTCATAGTGGGCTTTACAACTTATAATTATTACTTAAATCAATAAAAAAACCCAAAGTTTCTGGCAATATTTGTTATTTTTTCAGCAACGCTTGTTATTTCTAAAGAAATAACAAGTGTTGCTGGAGAAATAACAAGCATTGCCAGAACTTCAAGGGTTTTTTTATTGATTAATTGATGATTCTCCAGTCAACTGAAGAATGATCATAGTGAAATGTGATACGGTTCTATATATAAATTACTATAGGTGCGAAAGTAAAAATTTTCTAGTGATTGTCCAAAGAAACTTTTTTTGTACTAAGTTAAATATCTTTGAAAAACATTTCACTAACTATATAAAATTCTTTAAGAACAATCCAAAGAATTTTATATAGATAGCAAAACGTTTTTCAAAGATATCTTGGCATCCACAAGGCTGATTTGGATCATTAGATTCGTCTCGATGAGCTCTACAACTTTAATTAGAGACTCAAATATGATTAACTTAGTACAAAAAAAAGTTTTCTTTGGACAATCACTAGAAAATTTCTACTTTCGCACCTATAGTAATTTATATATAGAACCGCGTTACGTTTCACTATGATCATTCTTCAGTTGACTGGAGAATCATCAATTAAAATAAAACCTGATATGGGAAATGCTTTATTAATATATATTTAAAAATGCACGTGTAAAAAAAATATGATGGCAGAGTCTGGACATGGTGTCTGAGCTCATCAAAATTGTACAGAAGAAACGATACAGTACCTTCGGATAATTGGAAAATTATTTTTTGTGATGTTTGGTAAAAAAAAGTACTTTATACAGTATATATACTCTAAGATACATGTACCCTATTACGTAATTTTAATTTTACATATTTAAATTTTGTATAACAATTATAACCAATTACACATATATATAATTACTACACTAATAATCTAAAAAACAATCTTATACAAGCAATGCTAATAATTCTTTTAATATAAACCCTAACCCTAATGTGATGAACTTTATATATTACAAATGTCGAATACAATCTTAATAAAATATACAGCGCACATATTTTAATATCATCTATAAGCTTTGCAATCATTATACGTAGTAAAATCTGTTTAATACTGATATGGGATGGAAAGATGTTATAAATCAGTCATGTACTTGTTACGCATTTTGTCATGTTTATATTTGCGTTGAATCAAATACGTCGTATATATGTACGTATGTACGTACATATATGCAAAATACCTCAGCCAACACAAATATATCACGGTATGGAAATACACATTTGGATGGACGTAAGAAAATTATAAAACTCTTATACAAAAAAAGGTCCATTTAATGCACTTGCTCTAACCCTAATCATTAAAATGGGATTACTTATAGAAATTGAATTTTGCTAGCTTAAAGCTTAAATTAACTATGTATACAGCCAAAAATTTAGTATAATTTTCGTACTTCAGTTCAAATCTGTACTTCCATACAGTACTACTGTATTTACTGAATACCTGGTCCACATTACTGAAATTAATTCGATTATATCTTTGAAGTTCTATATGAACAAATATTATATAATTAAATAAGTTGAATATTCAACCGTTCCTGATTTTAATAACCTATGAACTTCCAAAATTTGAAACTACTTACCACAATAATATTTACTTGCATATGTATATAAAATACTAGTGTGGTTATTTCAACATTGCAAACTGATCTAGTGATTATTAAAATTGATTTACTCAAATTCAGGGTTATTATGTGTTTAAATTTAACAATTTAAATATCAATAATCTCAATTTATTTTAGCACAATTAACAGCTATACAACAATTTTAAATATATGAACATCATTTGAATATCACCAAAAAAATCTGAAAATAATATTAGGTAAAATTTTTAGATTTTCTTTGTGTTTAATATGAATATAAAATATCTTGTCGTTTGTGTTATACTTCGCAACCAGCTTTGTTATGACCGGTATTTTAAACATTGTTGGCATTGAGTTGGCTTTCTAGTCTTTTGTGCATTTGAATGCTCTTTGACACTAGACTTTTTATTATTATCTAATTCATAGGACTCCTTAAATTGTTTTTTCTTTAGAGTACCCTTTCTTGTATGAACTACTGGATTTTCAATTTCTATAAAATTTTCCTTGTCACTAAAGCTATAATCTGAAGTGGTTTCATCTTCCCCTTCCTGTTGTATTTTACTGTTTTGTGAATGACTTTTTTTTTTTTTTTTTGGTACATACTTATTAATAAAGTCATTCATAAAATTCTCAAGTTCCCTTATTGCATTAACACCAGCATCTAACCCAGTTTGGATGGCTTTTTTCGACAATCCATTAACTGTTACATAGGCTTTGCAGTAATTAATTTTTGAATAAACATCGTTAAAAGAAATATTTGGCAAACGAAATGACAACTTAGGAAAAAATTCTTTAGTATGAGTTGAATTTTTTGTACTATCCAATCCAACAATGAAGAAATGTTAAGATGTTTGGGATTCTGATTCAAGTTGTTTCTCATCGCTATACCATCTTTTTGATATAAGCATGATATAGAATGCAGCATAATTTGAAACAGCCATGATTTGAAAAAATGTCTACAAACAAACCCGCATTGAATTAAACCTAGACATATGCATAAATGTGTATTGTCTTTGAACAATATGACATAATTTTTAGTTTTACATCTATGTCAGGTAACCTCTCAAATTTTAATAATAGACTCAACTTTTGAGATGGAATTAATTCACTAAGTAAAACAGCAGATGCATCAACAGCATCTTCAATAAATATATCAAACACCTCATTTGAATCAGACTGTTCAATTAAATCAGATAGTTCAGTTGAATCAGATAGTTTAGTTGGGTCAGATAGTCCAGTTGGGTCAGATAGTCTAGTTGGGTCAGATAGTCTAGTTGGGTTGGATAGTTCAGTTGAATCAAATAGTTCAGTTTGATCAGTCAAATTAGATAGTACAGTCAAATTAGGTAATTCGGTTGAATTGGATTGCAATCCTAAATCTTCAAAATTGTCAATAAGGCGTAATGTATACCAGATAGCTTGAGCAATCTCCTGTCGTTGTATAGACAAGGAGGCTGATGTTAGGTAGATAGTAATCCATTGGTCGATTTCAGGTGAAAATTCAGAACTAGCATGAGTAAGTGTAGATCCTGTGATAGAATGAATCTAATTTTTGTATTGAATATAAGTGGAAGCCTGATCAATTTGTTCATCAATATGCTTAACAAGATTTATTAAAGATGTACCATCATTTACTGAATTTTTTATTATAGCATTTTGATCTTCAACTCTCTGTGTAGATTGCATTCCAGCATTAAAGACCTTTGAGGTGTAACAAATAGCCCAATGCTTTGTTTCATTAAAAAGAGCATGATTGAGGTATGAAGCAGCCTCAGGAAATTCCGTTAAAAGTTTATTCCATAAATAATAAAACTGTTGATGTGAAAGAGAGTTATGCATTTGATACTATTTGTTGGAAAAATCAATATATTGTACTCCTATTTTGCCTTTCAAATTTTTTATTAAATTCTGTCCTATATGGTATATGCAATGAATGTGATACATGTCAGGTAATATATTGGCTATAGTGCATTTACGGCAAGATCATTGTCAGTAATTATTGTTAAAGACGCAGTATTTGTATTTGAAATTAATGTTTAAAATACCTATTCATAACTTTCAGTCATCTCATCGTTCATAAGAACCTGCTCCACCAAATGAGACCGGTTGTTATTATCTACTATAACAAAGAAGCCCAGCGCCATTTTAAAATAGTTTGTTGAATAAGTGTTGTCATGTTGAACAACATCTCTGTATCGGATATATAATTTATATTGGTCCGGTGATATTCAAAATAAGGATGTAAGAGAATTATTTGTAGAATCAACTTTCTAACTTATAATCCACCTAGTATCTTCAGCTTTACGTTCTAAAAGATGATTAAGTAAGGTGGCTGCCTCACATTCAACATGATTTTGCTGCTTAAATGTTTGAATAATATTTGAAAGGTCTTGAGGCAGAAAAAAAAAATCTGGATATTGATTTGTCAACATTTAATACTGCATCCTCACCAATTTTAGTCCAGAATTTAATATCTCTTAATATGCTTTCAAAAAACACCCAGTATTTTAACGCGAATTTATTAGTTTGATCCTTTATTGGATGATCATTATGATTCAGACAAACAGACGTGATGCTTAGTATACCCGTTATCTTTGGGCAACTAGAATGAACATTCCAATGACATTCAGTGCGTTTACTTCTTGTTTGTCATTGGTTTTCAGCGATATTTGTCTTGTTCTTTGTATCGTTATGACCTTGATGCTTACAAGCATATCGGTGGATTCGACAAACTCTTTTATCATATTCAGATCCACATATAACACTAACAAAGTTTTGAGTTTTTGCATAGAGAGAAATAAAGTGATCCAATTCATCCCAATCACGGACTGTTTGTTCAACTACCAGTGTGTTGATTGCTTCAGCCGAACTTTGATCGCTTATTATTTGAATGTTTGATTAGTTAAGAAAACAGATGTAATGATTTATTGAGTTAAAGCAGGATAAAAAAGGTTTAACATGCCTTAGAGAAATATTAATAGGCCGCTCTTCAACTTGCCCTGAATAATTTTCGTTTTCCATATTGTAACAACTCAACCAAGATTTTTTTGATATAAACGTAACCTAAAATCTGTAGAGGTCATATATTTAAAATACCATAGCCTTATTTAAACAGCAAAATAATGTTTCATACAACAATACATTGTAGGGTTATTGCGCAAGCCAAATTTTGGTAGCATGCTATTAAAATTTGGCTTACACCGACAACCCTAATTACATGTTTCTAAGGCCAGTGTACCAGCGAAATAGACATTTCCTTTTAACACTTATTATGTTCATTATGTGCTTTTTTGTTACAAGTGAGAAAAGCTTTTTTTTAATTTGTCTCTTGCTTATATTTATGCATTTTAAGTTAATGACCATCTACATTATTTGTTTATCTATGGATTTAATTTATTATGTACGATTTAATCTTTGATGCATACGATCGCAATTGTTAGTTATGTTATACAACGTATGATTACCAAATTCATAATAGGGTACATAAAATTTTAATATACCCTAAGGATACAAATATATTAATTCATAAAATTATAATAAAATTATTTTATAATTCTATATTATATTATTATTTTATTACTATCT